GAGAGAGAGAGAGAGAGAGAGAGAGAGAGAGAGAGAGAGAGAGAGAGAGATTCTTCGCCGTTGTCACGGAATGGATAGGAGGCATTCATCCTCACCTGCCTTGTTCAGGATCGATAAACTGTACTCTGATGCAAGTTTCTCCTTGTTTGTTCATTATGTACCGATGCCTTGGACAGCAGTTGTCTGGTCGACGCGTGCGGCAAGAACGCCAGCAGCGGCAACAGCAGCAGCCTGATGGCGGGGACGGGGATGCGGTGGTAAACCGCGTCATGGCCCTCCACCAACAGGTATGTCGTGCGATGTATATACATGCCACGTAATACCGGTAAGAGACCATGTTCCTGTGCTTGTGGGGACATTTGAACATTCGCCGTCTCGCAGAAGGGCACAACAAATTCCCAATTTGATTCCTGCTGTACCCACCCTTTGCTGGCCCTGGCGCACCTGCCTCGCTTCTCCACAAAAGGAGATGGTCAAATTCATCAAGACGCTTAATGCCCCCGCGGCCGGAGTGTTCTGCGATGCCGAGTTCGGGCCTGTAGCAGCCATGTCGGCAGGAATCCACCCCAAGACCGCCAAGTCTCGATTTCAGGGTTACACCTCCTGCGCTGCCGTGCTGTGCTGGAACCCTGGCTCGTTCGGAACCAAGTCCCGTGCCAGTAGTGTCAGCCAGGGTTTGTAGTCTAGTCGCTCATTCAGAGGGTTTTACGGTGGCTGCATTGTTGCGAGTGCGAGAGAATACTGGCAGGCGCACTGCTTACGGGGGAAGCTTGTTATCACAGCCATCCCTTGTTGTTTTCCGGAGGGAGCAACTGCTTCACCAGCGTTTCAGCGCGCACGGGGGAAATGGGGGAAGACTTACTTTTCTTCAAGCGTAGTCGAACACCACAAGTGTGTACATGGGGCGATTTTGGAAGCGGTAGCAGTAGAAAATGGGCTGGCCCTGACAGCAATGCCCAATAGCAGCGATCACAGCTACCTTTTGTGATAATTCGTTCGTGTGTATTTTTAGTCAGCATGGACCGCTCTAACAGGCTGACTAATTTTAGACGCCACTTGTTGCTGGCGGAATAAACAACATGTCTGCATGTTGTTCGTTTGCTTGGTTGAGGATCACCCTCACCGGCAACCCGTCGTTTATCTACTCTTCAGCCTTTCGGTATTGTATGGTTTTTGGACGCACCAGTCGGGGACACACGGAAGGAAAAGCGCACACTGGAGGTAGGACAGGAGTTAAGTTCTATATTTCGGGTCTGCGGTGCTTGTGTATCGCGAGAAGGATGCAGCAGTCGCTTGCCCTCGTCGACCGTGAAGTCGAATTTCGTGGGCACATCGAATATTCGCTCGCCATCCCCATGTTGTTTGGTTGGAGGTGACATGAGAATGTTCGCGCTTCGACAACCTCGTGCGAGTACTCTTGTGTGATGCGAAGATAGGGAAGCAGCAAGTTGTGCAGGAAAAACTCCCTGCTAGCAGCAAAGTTTTTTTGCTTGATTTGACATGATTTTGATTAGGGTTCAGATGCTGCTTGGCGCGAATTATTATTTTTTTGACTTGATTTCAAGGTTGAGGGAGACAGCAATAAAAGGCTTGTGGAAGTGTTGACAGTCAGTGGCTGTTTTTCTGTCACATCACAACCCCGGAAAAAGAAATGTCGGTTTCGGGTAGTGCTCACGAACACCCCAATTTGTAATGGAGTAAACTCGAATTTCTTGCGTTGGATTGCGCTGTACATAAAATCAAAGTCACTTCGAACTCACTTGGATGGGGCTGAGGACAATGGAAAGGTGTGCTTAGGCGAGTAGCCAACAAGCCGTGTCGGTACGGCCAGCTAGGCCCAGACTTTCGGGGTTCCACTGTCCTGAGAAGGACCCCATGCTGTACATGGTGCTGTAAGAATGTGTACAGACGAGTCCAAGCTACTCTTAGGTATGCGTTGTTATGGTGTTGTACGCAGCGAGCGGTGGACGCGAGGCCGCTGGGAAGGACCTCCGATGCAACACGGCAAAACCTAATCCAAACTATTAAGGCTTCAGTCGAACAACGCAAAGGTCGAAGGTGCCAGCATCTACGTACCTCAAGGGTCCCAGACACTAGAATTCACTTATGCGGCACCCTCTTGTGATCGAAGCACACATACGCGCACACGCCCCGTGTTGCACACGAATTGGCAAACCCACCCGGTGGATCTAAGCTAGGACCCGCCTCGTTGTGCTCGTCACTTCTACTCGTCCCATTCGTCATCATCGCCGTCATCCCCGGCAACATCGATCGACGCGGCCTTTAACATGGAGCTCATCTTGCCAACAGAAATCGTTTCCTCTTGTGCTGGTGTTACTGGTGGTGCTGCTGCACCTGCTGCCGGGGCAGCCGTCTCCTCTGCCGTATTTTCTTCTGATGATGCACCCGTTGTTGCCGGAGGCGGCGAAGCTGTTTTCTCCGGCACACTCGAGGTTGCGGTTCCTGGTCCCGTGGCACACGGTGGAGATGCTGTGGCTGCTACTGCTGCTGTTGCTGCTGGTACTGCTGCCGTCGCTGCTGCGGTCGGTTTGAACGGCCTGGTTGCCTTACGGGGCCGCCTTCTTTGAGAAATAGTAGGACGGGATAGGTTCGCCTGTTTGATTCGTGGACAAGGTCGGGATAGGGGGGGGTGCGGCGTGCACATAAGCATCGTGTCTTGAGGTACAGCAAGCATTCGTAACACACAAGGAGAATTGCCACCATCGCCCCAAAAACCTGCAAGTGCCGAACGCTTCCTGTACGTATCACATGTAAAATAATGATCCTCTATCCAAACCCCCGGGTGTACCACCGTCGCGTCGCCAAGACCAGCGTGACAAATTATCACTTCCACCAACGGTAGACGAGCACAACACCTTATACATAGTCGCATTAGGAATGATAGACGGCCCACCAACGTGTCTACCAAACGGTCGACTCTATTCCTCCTGATGTACGGGGACATTTATACTTACGTGCTGCAGCTCGCCGGGCTTTTGCTCCACTGCAGTCTCGGACGGCTTTAGCTCCTCGGGCATGCCTGCTGCCGCTCTTTCCGCCTGTTCTTTCTCTTGTTTGCGACGTTTCAGCTCCGCGACACCCCCTGCCGGCATACCACCTGGGAACACGTGCGCCAAACAAGAACCAAAGCCTTTCTTGTCATAGTTCACTATTTTTATCACAACTCACACTAGGCAAGACAAAAGCTCTTGTCAAGACAAAAGCTCTTGTCAACAATGAATCTTCTACGCAGGAACCAAGGCGGCCTTGAACCGCGTGTACGTCATCGACATCGGAGTGTAACCCAACCACCAAAATTCCAGCAAGCTACTGAAGGCAGCAAAGCGCGGCATAAGTTCGAATCCTTGCAACGGTTCACATACGCATGGACAACAGGGAGAGAACCCAATCTATCCACAGGGCTGCTCACCACCAGGCATAGGAATTGGGAAGGCTTTCCCCATACGAGCCGCGAGACCGGGGGACACCTTCGAAGTTGAAGAGCTCGACCCGGACGTGGCCAAAGCAGGCGGGGGGGGCGGAGTCTCTTCCTCTTCCTCTCCCTCCTCCCCCTCCGGCACAGAATCTGTGCTCGATCTCATCGCGTTCATGCGGGCTGCAAGCCCAGGCGAAAGCTTGGACGCGGCGGGAGCTTCTGCCGGTGCGGACACTTCACCTTCACCTTGCTGCTGGGTGAATTTTATCAGTTGTGTTTTCAAGGTAGGGAGGCGGGCGGGAGATGGCAGCGCACGGATATTTTGTGTAAGGTCGTTTGCGAAATGATTTCCTCGTTTTGTCTACATGTGCTCCAAGCACCCCCTGGACCTACGCATACTACCTGTGTAGCGCAAGCTATGTATACACAGCAAAACCAAGTAGCGGACAAGCTGGGAGGTACCCATCATTCACCTTCCCAATATGAGGGAGTGATACCAATCTCATCCCTCACACGGGCACAAGCGTGCTTTCGTCGATCGACCAGATCACACTTGTCGATTTCGCGCAAGTCGTACCCTATTCCACGATTTTTTCATCCGTGCCGCTTCGTTGTTGGGAGGAGGGGGGGGCAAGCAAAGACCCGATGGCCGAGATAACACGTGCCAAACTTAAGACAAGTCCCCGAAGATGATCGAAGATGATCGTGGTACATTACGGTCGGAGTTTTCGCCTCTCACCGATGTCTTTCCAGCTACCGGGGAGGCTGACGAACCAGCCGGTCTCCCTGAGGGGCTGGGCGGCAGGATGGAGGACTTGCCGCTGCCGCTTCCGCTCAGGGAGGCAATTCTGTCCGCAACGCTGGAGGAGCCGCCGCTTTTGGAGGAACCTTTCAAGCGCGCAGCAACGGAACCAATGTTCGAGTGTTTAGGATAACAGTAGTCATAGGCATGGCTAGGCAGGCGAGGGCCAGGTTATTGGTGGAAAAAGCCGGCGGCAAACAGCTCGTGGCATTGCATGGTTGCAAGCGATGAGATGGGGGGAAGCCGAAAAATGGCGGCGGAACCTCTTGAAGGCAACGTACACGAGAGAGAAAAACAAAAACAGTAGCGGCGGAGAGGCCACAAGGCGGCAGCAGTAGTAAATAGACGTGTCAGAACTTTCAGATCATTCAGTTCGGCCCGGACCCGAGTGCATGCACATTTATCCCGTTGCACGCACAAACAGCTGCAACCAGGGGACATCCAGACGCGCCGTTCCTTCGTATCTGCAGGGCACTCATTTTTTGTTTGAGCCGCTTCCGCACGCAACCGTCAAGAAGCACCAGCAGTGATCACCCTTGAGACTCTCGAGTCAAACGCGTACGTAGCAAGTGGGTCTACCCACCTCCACCTCTGCCGGGCATTGACGTGACAACCGTCGGGGCGCCAGGGTGAGGGGTGAGGGTTCGCACCAGTCGGGGGGCCTCTCCTGTCGGAGCGTCAGCTGGTCCTGCTCGCATCTTGGCAAGCCTTTCTGCGACGGAAGGTCCCGTAGCGGCGCCGCTCGCCCTCGGCACGGGGGCGGGGGCGGCTGTGCCCGAGAGGGGAGGGGGGGGGGGG